CCGAGAACCCGAGCTACTAATAGTAACGACAGCGACCAGTCTGATGTGAGCAGTTTCATCTTGACACTTGTAATTTATCCATCTAGACCCTAAGCAAAATCCCTAAACCCTTACCCAAGCGCCAAACCGTGAACCCTGTATCTCGCCAGGCTGCTGGCGGCCGAAGCATGGCCTGCTGGAACGTGCATTGAGCCAGTCATCCCTAGCAAGGGTGGTGGCTTGAACGAGCTACCTAGTGATGAAGCCCTTGACGGCTACGGCCAAGCCACCATCTGGGACACTCAGCCATGAATGATACTGCGACGTGCATCGGGTGGGGGGGGAAGAGGTGGTTGGGATGCTTTACATTGTCGCTTGCGGAGTCATGTGGGACTGCAGAATCTTGCTACTGCCGCACACAGGGGAGAAGAAGCAAACAGGAGGTCGAGAGATCGCAGCCGAATCGCGTTCTGATCGATCAAAAAACACAACAAAAACTTCGGAGTACGATCGGATAAGCCAAGGGGATGCCGGATATGCCGATAGGACGTATGTGTTCCGTTCGGAGGCTTAGGGTGAATTTGGGGGGAGTGCAAAGAGTTTTGAAACGGTGAGGTGGCCTGGGGACGGGGGCTGTTCTTGATAGGAAACCTCAGCTCTTTCGACAAGCTCGCAGCACCCAAAACGATGCTGAACCTGAAATCCCGCGGCCCAAACAAATCCTGAACACTAAATCGGTATCAATCCATCCTTCAGCTGCCTGGGGCGGTCCACACAGCTGGAGTGAAGGACAACGGTGCCTTCTGCTGTCAAAGGCTCGTGTTCAGGATTGCCCTTGTCTGGTGAAGTGAAGCCTTCGTGACTCTGGGCTTGCTTTCTTAGCGGAGCTCTCGATGTCTCGCTTGCCGGTATCTCGATGTTGTGACCACCTACTACCGGCGATGATCCAAAGGCAGGTGGCCAAGCTTTGATTGCCTGTTTGCCATGTTCACCATTTTTTTTGTGTCCATCATCGGCCACTCGGACTTCTCAGCAGTTGCAGGCGCAGTGCCACCTGCGTCACTACGCTCACGCAAAACGACTTCGCGACACCATCGTTGTTGAAGGCCTGCCCGGTCGCCCACCCAGCTCGCTGCTGCCCTTGGAGTCCTGAAAGCGTTTCAGTGGTTGATCTTTGGCAGATGTCGGGTTGCTTCCAATGCTTAGCCTGGTGTGGGCTGGGTTCGGGGCTTCAGGCTCAGTTCTGTTGAGCTGGACAGACTTGCTAGCTAGCTTAGTTTGAACGGAGGTACTCCAGTGTAGACTGGCAAACCGATGGAAATGCACAGGAATCCGGGCAATCCTCCTATGTGCACTGAGCACAGGACCGCAAGTTGTTTCAAAGGTTCCACGCGCATGACCGAAGCCGCCGAAGCTTCAAACCTCTCTGAGTTCCGAACGTTGTGTCGAAGAGGCTTGCCAAGGCAACCTCCCAAGGCTCTAAGGTCCGACACATGTCGCGACTCACAGCGTAACGCCGAGTTGAAGGCACAGCTATCTGCACATCTCAACATCTGGGCTGCTCCGAATGCTTCATGACTTGTGAAACCCCCTTTGCCAGTTGCAATCTTCAGTGTAGCAAGTCTGTGTAAGAGTGGCAGACATGAAAGCGTTATCCGTAAGTGCAAGCTATTGTTTTCTTCCGATCGAGCATTGATTGTCTCAAACGCGTGGCAAGCGTCCGAAAGAGAAGAGACTAACTCGCGAAAAGCTACTCAAAAACCAACAAAGTAGTCCAGAACGCAATTAGCGGCTGGTGCCTTCGAGCCCGGAGGTTCGGAATCGGAAGTGCGCTGCAAGCGGCTGGGACTCCCCTGGGCGTTGTTCTCTGCAATGGGGTTTCGGCCAAGACGCGAGGTTTTCAGTCTGGTTTTTCAGTCTGGCGAAAGATGCCAGGCTTTTCAGAAAGTTCAACCAATCACGAAATAATGCGAATCTCATTACGCACTGTATCATCGGGGTGTGCTTGTTACTTGTTGAAGTGAGGGGACTAGGTCAGCTTGCGGCTAGCACGCTATGCAATTCTGCGCGTGTAAACTCGAGGATGCGGGAAACATACTCCTGATGCCAGAGTGGATGGAATCACAACACCTTTGAATTTCCCTTGCTCCATCTTATTTCTCTGCGGACAGAAGTACTAGCACGACAACTGGGATTGGACAACATGGCTCGGGTTTCGCACTCATGCCTTTGCGGACATGCCGTTTGACGTAAGCAAATCAGTCACGCTCTGAAATGAAACTGCGCTCAAACACTACCATACGTGCTAGAAGCCTTCCCCAGACTCGGCACTCATGATGACTCATGGCCAACAACCGCACGTCATCACGGTCTTTTGAACCCCAATGCTTGCCAGAATAGCATATCGTGCACTTCGTAGCAGTCGTCAGTTGTCGATTTACTCGATAACTAGACCTCTGTGAAGCACCCACCTCCGCAGGCTGCTTCTCGCGGCATCGCTTCGCCTCAACAGTTGTGCCGCGACGGAAAATTCATGGGTGAGTGCACACCCCGAAATTTCGGAAGGCTGTGCTGATTCTACAAACGCCGTCGACGCACACTTCCTCAAAGCAGCCAGCGGTAGCATGTACATTGCCTAAACTTTCATCATGGTCATCCTCAACCGTGGGGAGCTAGGCTTGTGCTTGCTTCTTGTTTGCAACCTCTCTACAATACACAATTCTGCCAGAGAGAGCCTTGCAACGTGAGCCCTGCTGAAGTTCCAGAAGAGCCGGCCAACTACTCTATGCCTATTCTGGGCATGATACTGAAGGTGATGACACCGCTGGAGGCATCCACTTGCGTGAGGAGCAAACAAAAAGAACCTACGCCAGACTCTGGATTTCGGTCCAAGCACCAATGCGCCAGCGACGGCAGCAGCTACAGGTGCCTCTCCGAGCATGGAGGACTCAGGGATGACAGTTCCGTCTTACATCTGGGATGCAGGAGTGTTTGCCATCATGGACTGTCCTGGTTCGCAAAGCTTTCCCAGGCTCTGTAGAGTCAGAATGCAAAGGCAATCAATGACTCGACTGACGACACATGCCAACAGACCTGCCCGATGACCAGTGAGGGAAGTTTGAAGGAAGCATTCCCTGAGCCGCTGCAGCGCCCTCCGGCTGAGGTCCACGCGGTGCTGTCGGCCAGGAGCGCCCAGAAGGCCTCACAGCCCAATGAAGTCAAAACCACTGAATCAACAGGAAGTCAAACACAACGCCACAATTTTGCGCAGGGTGAGATGGCCAGAAATCCCCCGTCTTTTCCGTCTTTTCTCCATCGCGATCGAAGCTCAGATTG